TTGTCCAGAAATGACTCAGGCTGTAGACAATGTTTGGGTCACATCCAGTATTTGCAGACCAGTAATAACTCCCGATATGCACTGATTTGGACCACCGTCACTTCTTAGGGGAAATGTTACATTACCACAAAGTTAGATAGTGATAAACACTCCGTGGCCAGGTGTCCTTTTAAGTCAGGATCAGTGTGGTCCCCGGGAGTGGCCCCACATCAGATCACCATGAGCTGAAGAGCACGCACCTGACTATAAATCAACACACTGCTTCCTTTGTTGAGACAGTCTTGTTCGCAAGAGTCTGCAGAACTAAACAGTATGCTCAGGGAGAGTGGGACTGATGTGCAGCAGCAGCAGTGGCCTGAGCAGAATGACAGAGGTTATGGGCAAGGCAGCGTGCACAAGAAAAGCCAGCCAAGGAGCCAAAGTCAAAGCATGAAGGATCCTAATTGTCATTATCTGCACTCGAACTCCTGCACATGAGTTATCACAGGTTTTCTGGATGCAGATGTATGTAAGATCCACCATGGGAACCAACATTTACCAAAGGCCTGCCCCATGCCAGGCCGGTACTGGGCTGGGCACTTGAACTTCAATGTGAATGTGGCTGATCTGGAGGACATGTGTGCTTCTGATCATCAGGGTAGATTTTTGTGGCAACAGAAATCTGGAGGTCGGTCAATTTTATCTTACCAGTTTCCAAGATTTTCAGAGCCTACAAAATATTCAAGCTTTACAAGTAGGACTACATCAGTAAAAACTGCTGTAAGACATGAAGAAAAGAACTCAAAATTTTAAAAAGGTCAACAAAATTTCCTGGCATGACTAAAATGAAAATTACAAGAAAAAAAACTTTTTTTAAAACAAGCGTGTCATGCCTGTAAATGTACCTTACTTCTTGATATTGGTTCTCAAACTCACCATTCCATCTTGTATCTCACTCTCTGAGAAACCGCAAAATGATTCATCGTCAGAGTCGGCATGAAAAATACTGGCCAGTTCTTTAGTGACATCTGGCCTTGGTTTCTGTAAAAATCCACAATGGTCTAACACATCTTGCACCTCACTTTCTGAAAAGCCGCAGAAAGATTCATTATCAGAGTCCTCATAAAAAACATTTGCCAGTTCTTCACTGATATCTGACCTGAATTTAGGTTTCTGTAAAATAAATAAATAAATGTGGTTGTGCATTTTCCCCCTTTTTCAAGAACCAATTTTCCATAAACCGTGCAGAGAGCAAATCACATTTACAAGTGCACTACAAGAGAACAGCTTTTGTTACAAAGAAAAATGGTTCAGAGGTTTACAAATGATTTCTGAGTTGTTATGGCAAATCATCAAGCATGTTAGGTTAGGCGACATTTCAAAAGGATAGAATAAGTAGCTAATCTACCTCCAACAATTACTACCTAGAACCACAGCAAAAAATGAAATGAAATTACAATGCATACTGTATTTTCCTAGCGGCTGTGTAGAAATGCAGGCAAAAAGCAAGCAGTTTTAATCACGCACAAAGCATTTGGGGGCATTTTGAGCACTGCAGACTCAATTCTGTTTATTCTCAGGCAGCACTTACCGTGTTTGCAAAATTATCAGAAGCAAAGCTGTCACAACTGTCATCAGAGGACGACGAGGTTTCCATGGAAATCAACTTCACGTATCTAAATTTCTTTAAGTTCTTCTTTACTCCGTGACCCTTTTGCTGCAAAGGAAAATGGCAATACTATTAAGTGGGACACTTACTACACTAACTAAAGACATCATTTTTGAGTTTAGTAGGTTGAAACAGCGCAGAGTCGACATTACCATTTCTTATGCCCTATACAGAAAAAGGAGGATTTGCAAATGCTACAAAAATATTTTCAAAACCTGGTAAAACCATAAAAGGAAGGGGATCCCTTTGAAGGGATATTGTTAAGGACATTTATCAAAATAATGAAACATCTATAGGGCTACCTCACTGTGCACCTTTCTTCCCACCAAGCTGAGAGTTACACTGAGTTCCCAAGGGGTTTCACGCTGCCCTCCTAAAATCTGCCTGTTAATAAAAAACATTAGATTGCACTTCTAAAAGGAAATTTTCAAAAGTACAAAATGGTAGAGTTCCTCGGCCAAAATCAACCTAATGAGGTCTTTTTATATAAGCTTTGGGCTCTGTACTGTGATGCTAATTTCCCAAACTACAAAAACTGGGCAGCACCTCTATTTCAAGATGGCAGGCTTTCAAACAGGCCCTGTTCCAACCAGGAAGGGTATAGTGATTTCAGCATAAGTCCTTATAAATCAAGTACATCAACTCAGTGAACAAACATACAAGGAGCCAAGTTAAAGGTCAAACAGCACTCCAAACCCAGGTAGAATGCCTGATTCCACTTCAGTGCTCCACTAGCCTGGCCTGATATTCAGTTCTCCCGTCTCCTTGCTGTACAAGTCTTAAATTTTTCTAAGTCCTTCTGTTAAGTCACAAATTACTTGTAGATTACTTGTTAAACACCGAACAACCTGGCATTGCTCACAAAAAAATGAAATTGGTGTCTATCTCCTGTTAAAACAGCAGTTTCTGCCATTTCTTAATATGTAATGAGATTCCTTAAGTGTTGTATTAGGTCCTGTATTTTAATTTTCTTAAATATGGCCACGCAACAAAAGTGATTCCTCACAATGAAAACTTTGGAAGGCAAGCTCTGCTATAGGTCCCACAAAATAATGCCAAGATGTGCGGTGTCAGGTGAAATGAACATTCTTTTTTCTTTTTTTTAAGTTTTATTTATTTATTTGGGAGGGGAGGGGCAGAGAGTCCCAAGCAGCTCAGAGCCCATAGAGGGGAGGGGAGCTTGGAGGCTCCAACTCATTAACCATAAGATCATGACCTGAGCAGAAACCAATCCGAATGAGCCACCCAGGCGCCCCATGGAAAGAATACTCTTGACCTTCTTTGTACACCTACCATTCTGCATTTCATTTCAATCTCTTGCAAATAAAATGACGTCTTTTGTCCTTTTAGAAAGGGAAGAAAATGTGATAATACGTAGAACTACTACCCATTAGAAGGGTTCTCAGAAACACCCTATTTTCCAGGTGAGGAAATTCAAGACTCCAGGGAGGTGAAATAGAGCGCCCAAGCTGACAGAGTTGGCAGGAGAACCCAATTCTGCAATCTCCTAAAACAGCAGCGCACCTTGCACTGCTGCAGCAATTATCACCATTTACTCATCAATCTACCTGCAAGCAGTCAAAGGCCCAAGACAGCCTCAAGGCAGGCAGTCTACTGGAAGCCGACAGGGAAACATATGCTGGGCTTTAACAAGTCAGCACATGCCAAGACTCAGTTAACAGGTGGAGGAAAAGACATAGAAAAAGGCAAATGGTTATGGCTAAGTTGAGCTTTTCCGGCAGGCCGGTAACTATACCATTTAGTAGGTGTTTTTGTTTTCCTGCCAGGCACTAAGCATGTTTTCACATTAATTCCTTGTAACAAAGGTGCTGTCATTCTTCCCATTTAACAGACGGGAAAGCTGAGGCACGAGACGTGAAGTGGGTTACCCAAGTCACAGGATGGCCCACATTTGAACCCAGGTACGTCAGATTCCAAGCCCAATTTGCCCAAGGCTTTCTTCTACCTGAAAGCTACGCCCGGTTACACCCGGCGGAGCTGTCTTTGAAACCACGCCCCCAACACGTCCGCTCCCCCCCACCCCCCACGAGAACCCCAGCTTCCCCACTTGTGTTAATCTTTATTTATTTTCAGCATGTCACTTTCTTCCTTTTCACCCAGCCCCCATCTTCTAACCTCTCCTGGGGCAGACCCTACGTTCCGGTTTCCGTTAGAGCAAAAAGTAACGTTCCATTCAGGGCAACGTCCTGCAGCTGTGAGTAAGGTTGATGAATGGAAAACGAGCAAATGGTGGGCGAACAGTTTGGACCACCAGATCCTTTAAGTGCTCTTAACCACCGCCCTGAACTAGAGACGCCTCCCCCCACGTGTGCAACGCAAATTCTAAAGAGACCGTTTTTGCAACACCTTTAAACTTCAAACCCACCGACCCTCGGCAGTTAGAAGCGGATGCCGGTGTGGCAGCCGCAAAATCCCGTGGGGACCGCGTCCAAGGTCCCCCTCCCCCCCGCCCCACTGCGCACGAGTCAAGCCACAGCGAGCCACCCGCCCGCCCATGGCTGCACGCTGGAAAGGGCTGGGCGGCTGCAGGGCAAACCGCAGGGAGCGGGGAGGGTGGCGCTCCTCTCCGTCCGGGCTCAGGCCGGCAGACACAATGGGGAACCCGCCAGCCCCGGCTACTGTCTGACCCCGGGCGCACGTGCACTTAGAGCGCACGTGGCCTCAGGTTCTCCGGCGCGGCCAACCCGGCAAACTGCTCACATCTCCGAACAGCCTGCGCACGAGACGGGGCCGGCCCCGCGCGCCGAATTACCCAAAATGCACAAAACCTGGGGTTTGCCTAAACGGATGCCGCCCAAGACGGCCACCAGTTAACTCCGTCCGCGGTAGTTGGAAGGAGTCGTTCCGCGCCCAGCACCCACCGCACCCGCCCCTCGGGTTAGTCCGCCTAGCGCTCACCCGCACGCGGCGAGCGTCCATGCCGCTGGTGGGTGCCCAGGCCGGCGCTCAGAGCTGGGAGAGCGAAGCACCGCGCGAGCAGCGGTCCCAGTGAGCCGAAGGAGTAGGAGTTGCGGCAGGCGGGCGGGGCGCGCAGACCCGGGCCCAGAGGGGCGGGGCTCCGGCCGGGTTTCCCGCGTTGGGGCGCAGGTCCTGCAAGCTGTGGTAACCGCGTGTCCAGGAGCGAGACGTACTCGGCGCCGGGGGGAAAAAGCCACCCCCCAAATATTATGACCTCGAGCAACAACCTAGGAATCTCCGAAAGCCACTGTAGAAAAACGACCCTTTTAGGGCTCCAGGACCACTCTCTTTACGTCGCTGCACGGTCCTGAGCGAATGGCGCGAAAGAGGTTCGTATTGCCTCGGGGTTACCAGGCTGATTTGCATGAATTCCGGGCTGAGAGAGGAAAAGTGCAGATACGGGGTAATGGAGAGCAGCGCGGGAGTCTTGGGGATCTTGGCATTTAGCACTTTAATTGCGACGTGCGGTTTACATCATTAGATATAAAAATCAAAGAATTAAGCACGAACTACAATCTTTATTAGCCCAGTCGCTGTCCTGAGTGAGGCACCTCGTATTTGGTAACCACATCGTTATCTGAAGCGATTAAATGGGGTAACTCCTGACGTTTCATTCCAGAAAGCACCCGAAGCTGTGTTGCAGTTTTACATAAGCCTTGTGATTTTGAAATTAGAAAAAAAAGGGGTTGCTATTAGTTAACACTTAACTGCGGGATTCTAAAGCCTTTAGAATTTATCTGTCGGGATAGAACCTAAAGGCTATTAATGTGGTTTGGCGATCATATCTTTTGTCAGAATTTATAATTACCGAAATTGGAATGAATGTGAGATGTTTTTCATTTGCCTTTTTAATCAAACCTGACATTCCGACGCAGTAAGGTGTGACTTTTTAAGCATATTTTGTAGAGAGCAGAAATAAAGTAGCTTTCAGAAGAAAAAGTAAAATAATTTGGGTTGCTTTAAAAAACCCTAATTATAATCTCTCATTTAAAACAAGTGCTTGAAATGAAAACATTCGAATTTTCGCCCTTAAAAAACTTTTCTCTGGGGGAAGAATTCCTTTGCAGTAAGAGAGCATGCGTGAATCCACCGCGTTCCTCTCTGGATGTATTGAATACAAAAACTTGGGAGCAAGTAATGCTAGAGAACAATGGATTGGAAGAATTGGGAGGGTCTTGGTCGGAGTCTAAGAGCCTTTCTAAAACTAACGCCTTGGCCATGGTCATTCTGTGACAGTGCAAGGCACAAAGAACTCATGGTCTCGAAGGTAGGCGCCAGGGGAGGTGGTTTGTCTGGGGAAATTCTTGGCAGTGTTGGGGATGGGGGGGGGGCACAATAAGTGTTGAGTAAATAACCATATAAATGGTGAAAGAACTAAAATTGTGGTTAGTGCTGTGTCCTTGGAGATACAGTTTTGTGACACTACAATTTAAGTATGTGAGAATTTGGAATTGTGAAATGCATAAAGTAAGGGAAGATTAAGCCACTTGAACTCTGAAAAGTTCTGATAGGAAAATTCTTAGATCTCTTGGGGCACTAGAAAGTAATTTAGTTTACACAATTTTTTTTTTTTTAAGTTTAAGCTGTCAGTCTTTTTAGTAAGTAGGAAGATGCAAGTTAAAACAAAGCGATGGTTCCACTCAGACTGGCGAAAATGGAAAAGCCTGATAAGACCAGGTATTGGTAAGGATATGAGGAAATTGCTGCAATGTTAGTAGTGTAATTTTATTTTACTTTGGAGGGCAGTTCAGAAATCTTTAGTAAAACCCAGCAAAACCACTTCCAGTTGTAAACAGAGTTTTTCACACTGCAGGTGAGTTGTGAAATCAATTTACTGGATTACAGCTAGCACATTTTCTCTTTTTGAAATTGGGTAAAAAAAAATTAGGAGTAGTAAGTGTGAGTATTGTTTTCTGCAACTTTGTGTCACTTTGGGTGTGTGCTTTGTATAAATGTGTATTTCATATTGTGCTTCACCATCAACAAAATTTTTAAGATCCTGTCCTGGAGAATGTGCATGTTGAGTCTTGTACTGGTGCTGTCTCATTCGTTCAGGTTAAGTATTGACGATGCCTGTTACACTAGACACTATTCTGAGAACTGGGGACACAAAGGCCAGGGACTTTACATTCTAGTGGAGGAACAGAAGTAAACAAGATAAGTTCAGGTGTGATAACTTCTGAGAAGAAAAAAGCAGGATAAGGAGAAACGAAATGAAAGAGGTATTCAGATAAGAAAAAACAGGAAAGGCTTCTCTGAGGAGTTATCTGATCAGGAGCCTGAATAAAGCAAGAGACCAAGCCATACACAAATGAGGGAAGTGCTGACTTCAGGCAGAATGAACAGCTGATTCAAAGGCTCTGTAAGACAGCTAGCAGCAGAAGCCAAATATTCCTTTTTTTTTTAAATGTTTATTTGTTATTTTTTTAATTGGGGAGAGCACAAGTGGGGGGAAGGGTGGAGGGGGCGGAACAGACGATCTGAAGCAGGCTCTATGCTAACAGGCTGATGGCAGCCAGTTGATGTGGGGCTTGAACTCACAAACCATGAGTGGTGACCTGAGCCACCCAGGTGCCCCAGAAGCCAAGTATTCTTGACTAGAGAGCTAAGGAAGGAAAGGGAGAGGGGCCAGATCATGTGGGGTCTTCCTGACCTTGGGAAGAGCTTTGGATTTCATCCTAGGTACAATGGGAAGGATTTTGATGAAGGACAGACCCAATCTGACCCCATGAGCTGTGTGAACTATGGATTGAAAGGGAGCAGAATTGAAAGCTCAAGTCACTTAGGAGCCCCTGGAGGAGAAAATGATGGCTTGGACTAGAGTAGTTTTGGAGTGGGGAGAAGTGCTCAGGTTTAAGATATGTTATTTTGAAGATAGAGCTAATGGCACTGGAGGGATGGATGGTTCATTCATACTAGCATTGCGTATCATAGTAAAAATATTGCAGATAAACTAAATGCCCCTCAGAAGGGAAATGGATGTATAAACAGTGGCATATTCATACAATGGCATTTGAACAGTAGTTCAAATGAATGACCTAGCTTACTTACCTCAATACAGCTAAATCTTAATGTTGAATGAGAAAGCAAATTGCAAACATTTCTGCAAATTGTACCCCTTATGCAAATTTTAGAAACATAATTTAAGTTGTGAAAGTATAAAAACATGCACAAACAAAATACGATAGAGGTAAACTCAAGGAGGGAAGAAAAAAGAGGAGATGCAGGCTTCCGCCCGCTCTATCATTCATTGATTCTTTCTTTAAAACTAAACAGTGCGAAGCAAATATGGCAAAGTGTTAAATGTGAGTGGTGGGTATATGAGTGTCTTTTATGTTTTTACTTTCTGTGGGTTTTTATATTCTTTTGGATCTGAAACTTTTTATAAGAAAAATTTTTTAAATTTTGAAAGTCACTATGTTAACCATATACTGGTAAATATGTTCATTTTAAGTGAAAGACACAAAATGAGTAAGAATGGAAATTCAGTGCAGAGATTGATGAGGGCCCAGGCCACAGCAACAGGTAACAGGGAATGACATTTCATAAGCACATACCTGACATCTACAGACAGTATCTGGTATGAGGGCTGTAAATACAATAGGTACCTAGAAAATACTTATTACCAACTAAAATGATTATACATGGAATTTTAAATCTAAAACGTTCTAAAATACCAGTCTCTTGTTGAAGAGCTTTATCTTTAAGGATTGGTGTGTGTTGTCCTATAGCTTTTATTCACCATGCACAAAGAATTCCATTTCCTATTACTAAGTTCGAAATTTGATCCTGAGGTTCTGAGCACTCAGCACTTATATAATGAAGTGAGCTAAAGTCAAACTTGAACTCAAGATGATTGATTTTAGGACAAAGAATGCAAGAATTAATGAGATGTATCATTTTTTTTTTGTTTTGTTTTTCTTAATGTTTATTTATTTTTGAAAGAGAGAGTGAGCAAGCAGGGGAGGGGCAGAGAGAGGGAGACACAGAATGCAAGCAGGCTCTAGGCTCTGAGCTGTCAGCACAGAGCTCCACCCTGGGGCTCGAACTCATGAACCATGAGATCGTGACATGAACCAAAGTCAGACACTTAACTGACTGAGCTCCCCAGGTGCCCTGAGATGTATCATTTCTAGATGCGATTTCAAAGCAAAGCTGATGTCCCAGTAGACATGCTGTTCTTGGTCTCGTATGCCCTTCCTTCTCTCAGGAAATGTAATGTGAACCCAAGTTGTTCAGTAAACTAGAGACCTTCCAATAGACCGCACACACCCAGGAGACAAAGGGCTGGAAAGGGGTTTCACTGTGTTTGAGAATACAGACAGGTTGCAGTCTGTCACAAATCTCTATTCTAAATAACCCCCTAATTATAGGTTTACCTCCCCAGTGTCTGCTTTCAGGATGTACAAAGGCAAGAAACCTAAAAGGCCTAAAGTTACCCTTCTGTTGCCAGAAGCCACTCTGGGGGAGGGCCTAGCCCATTACCAACCTGGTTCAGTTTAGTCCACAAATCTTACCACTCCAAACTCTGTTGGTATGTTGCTTTTGATTACATGTCAGCACTGTTAAGCAGATCGTTTTGCAGACAACTGATCCCTGATTAGAGAAAGGAACATAGAAACATGAATGCAAAGCTGGTCATCTGTAGCAAGAGGAAATATTTGTTTTTTCATGGATAGGCATTGTTCATTTTGAAATATTTCACTGTGTAGGGGCACCTGGGTGACTCAGTAGGTTAAGCATCTGACTTTGACTCAAGTCATGATCTCACGGGTTCGAGCCCCGTGTTGGGCTCTGTGCTGACAGCTTGGAGCCTGGAGCGTACTTCAGGTACTCTGTCTCCCTCTCTCTCTCTGCCCCTCTGCTGCTGGTGCTCTGTCTCAGTCTCTCTCTCAAAAATTAACATTAAAAAAAATATTTCACTGCGTAGAGTGTTAAAGCATCAGTAAACACTGGATGAGATAAAGTCATGTTTTAATTACTGAATCAGTTCCAACATTATGGAAGCTGAACTATAACCTAACTGCCTGCATTTTACCAGCCACAACACCCCTCAAAGTTGTTATTCTATAACTTTTTAAATTTGCCCCTGGCAAAATTTTTGTATAGGGGTGCAAAGATCTCTTGAAGATGGTGATTTCATTTCCCTTGGGTATATACCCAGAAGTGGAATTAGTGGGTCATATGGTATTTTCTATTTGTAGCTTTTTTTCTTTTTTTAAAGGAACCAGCATACTGTTTTCCATAATAGCTGCACCAATTTGTATATCGAGGTGTTTCCTTTTTTCCACATCCATGCCAAAACTTGTTATCTCTTATCTTTCTGATGTAATGGTAACTTTAGAAAACACCATGAAGAGAGGAAAAAAGACCAGAAAACTATATGGCAGAATGTTAGCAGAGATCTCTTCTGGGATGAGGAAGCTAGTGGAGATTTTTCTTTTGTCTCTTTTCTATTTCTTGTTCTTTCCAAATTGTCTAGAATGAGCTCAAGTGACTTTGAAAACTGCAGGAAGAGAATAGAAGAGTAGCTCCCTGTCCTTAAAATCACAGAAACAAACCATGCAAAGGAAGAGGGGCTGAGGCAGTTAGGGTTATCTGGGTGGGCTTGTGAGGGGAGAATGGAGTCTGGGAAAGTGAGAGCCTGTTTGTGGGGCAGCGGCTATGATGTGCTCCTCAGTTATCCTGGGAGCTCTGACTGCACCTGCTCCATTCCACCTTCTGAAATATGCTAGCAAAGTCCTGCTGGGCAGCTTCTAACCCACAGACACCTAGCAAAGACTTTTGTTTTTACTCAAGAACTTTTTGCTTTTTAATTTGATCATTTCCCCTTCTGGAGACAACTGGGGTGCAAAAAAATCTCTGTTTTTCAGGTGTGAGAACTTTGTTCATCGCATAGGCAACTTCTTCTAAACTATCGTAGTTGTGAATTTTCCAGGTCATAGAAGTCTTCAGATCTGTTCCTTTTAGGCAGCTCTTTGTGGAAAGAGAACTGTTGCAGAGAGAGGAAGTTTAACTATTAGCTAAAAAGAGACTTAGGGATTCTCTGTAAATTGGCTAATTTCTGGAGTGAACAAAATTCAACATGGTGAGGGAACCAGGGAAGAGTCTCATCTTCACATTGATGTATAGAATTAAAACCAGTCTGCCAGCAGTCCTTAAAAAGTTAAAAATAGATACCAGATGATCCATCATTTCTGCTGGTCAGCAGACAGAATTTCAGCTTTTTATCTTTTTTGGAGTCCTCAAAGGTAGCCTTGTCATGGC